TTAGACTTTCCCGCAACACTTTAAGGAGTAAAAGTCCGTCATTGGTCAAAGAATCGGGTGTAGGGTGTACCATGTCCTGGTTGGGTAACTCCAGGTATCTTCTAGTAAGTCTTCCTATTAGTTTTTATTTATTTTTAGTTTTATTTTCTATTTTCCGCAAATTTTTAGGAAGTTTAAAGTTCCTGGATACTTTATATTTCTCTTGCCAGTAAAAATAAAGATCTTAGGTTGTATATGAGGCATCGTTTTAATTTTTCAGCAACATAATGTGGCCCATGTAAGTGGAATTCAGGTGTTTAGAGTAAAAGTAAAAAAAACACCAAAGTAGAATGGATTGTTAAGGTGGAGGTGCGGTTTGGTTACAGTCCTTTTATGAAAGGCTTTTTGAATTAGTTTTCTTTTTTAATGGATTGGAATATAAGTGTCGATCATGTCACCCTTGGGCATATGGCACTATTGAATAGGATTTTCAAAGCGTCATCCGCTGTTGAGATTGAAAAGATGCCCAGGGATGTTTTGTAAGCCAAGAGAGCTTTGTGCCTGTGAAAGCAATGATTAAATCCTCAACAAACTTATACACAGTATGTACACATGATAGCCACATTACTGGGAAGCAACCTTGGAAAAGCATACATGTACATGTGCATAAAGAGTGTCCCATGTTGATAGTGATGTGTGTGTATTTCTCTTAAGGAACTTGTAATCCACATTTTGTGGCCATGGTTCCACAATTTATTGCCCAGCTTTGACAATCCAATCATAGCCCCTCCATGAAATTGTAGGTCATATTTCTCGTTGGGTTGGTTTGGTAAGATAGTCGAGGATCACAAGTACTGGGTTAGGTGGAGAGCCTTAACAGTCACTTATCGCGAACCCTTGGTACCACTTCACTGATACTTATGTGAAATTCAGAAATTGTTTTCTAGAAATTTAAAATTAATTTCAGCAATAAAAACCCTTAGACGGCCTTTCGATCTAGCACGCGTGTGTGCCATACCCATATCGGTGGAACGTGAAGCCCATGGGGCCCACATCTCACACATGAAGGAGGCACGCCTCTCTCCACTTCTTTATTTCTTATTTCTATTTTTTAGAAAAGTATTTTGGTTGGTTAAGGAAATCGTTTTGAAAAGATTATCCTTATTTTGTGTGAGTTTAAATATTTTTTTCTAACTAAATATTGAACTTTTTTACTTCTTTGTGAGAGATAAGGGAAGTTCGAGAAGAGTACTTTAGATTAGTCTTATCCTAGTTTGACTAGAAGCGGATATGGGTCAAAAATTCAAGGGATACAATTTCTATGATGTATTTTGTATGAGTTTAAAATATTTTGTTCTAACTAAATCTTTAACTTTTTTACTTCTTTGTGAGAGATAAGGGAAGTTCGAGACGATTACTTTAGATTGGCCTTATCTTAGTTTGACTAGAAGTGGATATGGGTCAAAAATTCAAAGGATAAGATTTCTAAAATTCCTCTTTAAATTATGATGGGTGATTCATGGGATGGATGGCTCAGATTTAATCCTCTTTCACCTCACATATTTACTAAAATTATATTGGTTATAATGAGTCACAATTTGGATAAACAAACCTAAGGCCTTTGAGGCCTATATAAGGAGGGACATCCAAAAAAAAAAAGCTCTGCACACAATTTTTTGAACCTCACTCTCTCTCTCTCTCTCTCTCTCTCTCTCTCTCTTCTTCATTTTCTCTCCACATCCACTCTCTCAGCTCTCTCTCCTCTCTCTACTCTAAAAAAAAAAAAGGAAAAAAAAAAAAATAACCTCGAGTTAGTGAAGGTGCTCAAGAAAGCCGGAAATTGAGAAGAATGAACAAATCATCGTTCCATATCGAAGGAGGGAAGACAAGCCTCTTGCCATTTTCTACAAAAACATCTTTTGCTCTCACCATAGAGAGGAAAGAGTCCCAACCTCCCAAAGCAAAAGAGGTAGGGATTTTATCTTCCCCAAGTCTCAATCCTCTCTCCCATTTATTCAGATGAAACCTTTTTCCTGTTGTGTTCTCGCTCTATCTGCTTCAATTTCTCTCAGCAAACCCTAGTACCATATCTGAAACATTTTAACACCATCTCATTGTTCACTTTTTAAAAAAAATTTCTTGATTTTCTTATTTTGAATCTTAGTCCTTGTCCAAGAGAGAGTTCTGAATTTTCTCATAAGTTTATATTGTTACTGATTTTGATCCTACGACTACTAATTTTGATGGTGAATGACTTGATTCAGTTCCATGGATTTGTTTCTTTTCACTTTCATATTTTTTTATTATTTTGAACCCCTATTTATTTTTTTTATTTTTTTTGACGTTTTTGCTTGAATTGGTTATAGCCAGTACTTTCATTTAATTGCTCATCTTTATATTTCTTCATTGAGTCCATAAAATGATGCATATGGTCCAATACCTGAAGGAAAAGATGCTTTTATCTCTTGAATGTAATTGTATTTTACATCATTTACGCAATGAATTGATGATCATAGCATTTTAGCTCATCTTTTTTTAGAAACGATCTGATGAATTTTACTTCGTGAATGCCTTGAATATCATTTCCCTTTGTGATTTGCCGTGGTCTTTGGTTTTAATTGACAGGTTTTTCTTGTTGGGAATGCTGAACATTGGAAACGGAATTGTTGTATGACTGCAAACGTCATGAATTTGGTCCTATTCTCAATTTTTAAATTTTCACTTTTTTGTTGCGATTGTTTGGAATGATGAACCTATACAAGAAGCAGTAGTTCTGCATCAACACCTTCTAACTTCATTCAAAGCTTTTAGGAAGCTTGTGTCGAAAATGGTTATAAATCCTATTGTGGGCATTCAGTTCATGCAATATGGGCTACATTGATGACTTTTGCATCTTCTATTGGGTTTGCAGTTCGTTGAATTTTAAAGCAATTTGCTTTGTTTAGAATTTTGGTTTCTGCAAATGTGGATAAAATAAACAAATCCATATTGAATTTGATAAGGATCAGACCTGGAGCACCTAGTAACCACATGAAAATAGCAACCACTTCCAACTCAAGTGCATCTTCAATTTTTGGGATTGACACATTCAATAGAATATCATCCCAGCCTCTCTCTCTCAACTAAAATGCATGCAACTGGTGACTTTGATCAAATGCTCTTGGACAGTGGTTTGTTGTGATCAAGGCTGCAAAGAAATTATTCTCCTCTCCTTAAGCTCGTTTTATTGTGCAAAACAATGTTTTGCTCCAACGTCAAAATTGAGCAACTCATTACTTTAACTGCATTGCCAAATCTCTCACCTTCACAACCTGACTATATGTCAACAAGAACGTGAAGAGCCATTTTGGATCTATGTCTTCATGGAATGCCACTTTGTCTTGAAGCTAAAAGAGTGAAACAGAGTTTTGCACTGAGTGAATCTTCAGCACCTAATATTGTTTGAGATATTTTTTCTTCTTGTTTACCAAAGTTTTATATTGATTTACTTATAAAGCATTGGCAAAGAAATAGAAATGAAAAAAAAAAAAGGAATGGAAAAGGCCATGCATCATTTGTAATTTTGTGTCACATATGAATTTTATTAAGAATTATGTATAATTTTTCTTCATTTATGGAAGAAGGTATTAATTTACACCAATTTGTTAGAACGATTTAAGTATTTTTATTGTCTGGATTGATCATTCTTTTCTGCGCATTATCTTTGGCAAAAAATATAATGCATTTATGCATCACAATATATCCCAGTTATCTTTAGACCACCCAATTCCTATTTTTACCCAATTCCTATTTTAATGTGATGATGGCGCAAAGTTCACTCTTTCATTGAGGGTTACTAAACCCAGTCCTTATAGGAGTCTTCACTCTGATGATTTAATAGGGGACAGGTAGGGAGAGAGAGAGAGAGAGAGGAGAGAGAGAGAGAGAGAGATTTAAATAAATGCGCAATCGACTGCTATTTAGCAAAGATAGAGAAAGATTTAAATAAATGCTCATTTGAGTGTAAATGTTCATCAGGCAAGGAAGACAGCAATAGAGAGAGATTTACAGAGAGAATACCTGTTAAGAATAAATTAAGAAAGAGAGTGACCACTAAGACTAAATCAAGAACCTATAATCTGGAATGTTCATTTTGTGAGTCCTACTATGGATGGTTTAAAAAAATTCACCTCCATTGAACAGATATCAACATCTAATCAGTGAAATTTTTAAGGAACGGTAAAAAATAGGTTGCTTTCCAGATACCAGCAAAAGCAGTTACACAAACAGGTTACCAATCAAAAGACTTATGATTTCCCAAGGAATTCCAGACAAGTTACCAAACATGGGAAAAAACAAGGACTGAGAAAGCAGTTTCCTATTAATCTATGCTCCCAGGAAACTCAATTCAGGACAAAACGTTTCCTAAAAACAAATAAACCCCCAGCATCTCGCCCCAATCCCAATATGTTGGGGCTTAATTATAGGCAGAGCTGATTTGCTCTAGCACTCAGCCCCACAGCAAATCCCAAGCGTGTGATCTGCATGTATAAAGCTACCGAATCGGTGTCTTGTACACCATCCATAAAGGCTTCATTTACAAAGGCACATAATTGACAAGACAAAAGTTGCAGGACATTCTGTAAAGTAGAAAAAGTACCTTCAATCATATTTGGTGAGTTATTATTGAATGGCAACTTCTAACTTCAATATTGCACAACAAGAACAGTCAAAGCTCTTCGTGTGGTTGCTTATCTATTGGTTTATACAATTTTCATTTGTTATTTTAGTTTTTTTACTCAGTGGTGTTCAGTTAATGCACAGTAGCTCACACTCCAGTAAAATTCACCATCCATGTCATGCTCATGGAATTAAAAATGCATAAGCATACAATTTAGTAGAACAGATACCATCTTCATGGGAAGAAGAATGCTAACTACATGTTTCAATAAATCATAAAAATTAGAAAATAGTTCTATTGAAAACTTCCAAAATTAAAACTTAAAAAGAAATGGATAAACAAATGAGGTTGAATTAAATACCTTTTCCTGTGTCTTTTCCAAAGTCACTTGATTCTTCGCCAATATGGTAATTCCTCCATCAGTATTGACAGCGATCCGAGCACCTATATTAGCATCATCAAATGATACCACTCATTGATCAGAATGCCATGAAATTCTTAATGCCATGAAATTCTTACTCAAGAACAACAAATGCTATACATTAAAAGAAGTTATATAGTTATCAACAAAAGCAAGCACCTCACAACCAATCTATGCACGGTTTAAAAAAACCATTGGAATACTGATCCAAATACTAGCAATCTAATAAAAACACCTATATTTCACAAAGACAGAAATATCCTACGTAAAACAAGTTTCACATGAAAGCAACATAAATCCAAAAAGTTGCATTCAGAAAGTTAGCCTGAGCTGAATTCTCATACGTGAGACATACTAACTAGTAGGGGTCAAAACTTAAAAGTCTGAAAGTAGAAAAGTGGGAATGCTTCAGCCCAGTCAAACGCAACTTGCTCAGGAATTGAAAAATGGCACCAACTTTTGCAAGTCAGTAAGCATTTCTAAATCTCCAATTCTTGGGGAGAACCTGAAACTCCAAATAGTGATCTTCGGACCTATAAAAGCACACTGGATGAAGAGTTTGGCAGGGCTGAAGTTCATTTTATCCTTTCACCCACTGAACAACCACTTAATAAATAACTACCTCGTATGTTCAAAAGAAGCAACCCAGAAAAGGGAACCCTCCAAAAGAGCCAATCCAAACCTAATATAGTATAGAAACAGCATAAAAATAAAAAGGCGTTAATAAAAACCTGTTTCCTGCTCAATCTTTTTGAGTTGTGAACCTTGAGGACCAATCAATCGCCAAAGGGATTCCCGACTGAACTTCATAGTAACTGCAGTAGATTACAAGTTTGTTCCTTATTAGTAAGCAAGGACAAAGAGTATAGAACCTCTAACTGAAACATGATACAAATCATGAAGCCACCGATGATCGAACCTAAGCATGGACAATTTCCAGCTGAACGGTCACGTGGTTCGCTAGTCACCCTCTCCATGTGATTAATGATGTGGGTCCGAGCTTTAAGAGCAGGGTCTAAGCTTTCGCAGATGATATTTAAAGGGATTCCAGCAGGTTTTATGTCCAACTGTATAGCAGTCACACCTTTTCTTGTACCAGCAATTTTGAAGTCCATGTCACCCAGATGATCTTCTAGACCCTGTCATAATGCACCATTGAAAAGAAGCTGTTTCCATTTTCCAGAAAAGGCTAAATGATAAGAAGATATTTAGGCAACAATAACATCACAGGGCTGGGGTTGTGGGGGTAGCACCCCCTATACCTTAGTCGCACATCATGCTCTCCAATCCCACTTACAGCTTTGAAAACCTAACTATTTTGGAAAAAACAGGGTAGGGGGCCTGTATTCCCCACTGAATTTCCCTAAAAAAAAAAAAATTCAGATTTCATAGTTTATATTGCATACCAAAATATCAGTCAATATACGGTAATCCTTTATAGTTCCAGTAGACGAATCCACCTCACTAATAAGCCCCACAGAAACTCCTGCAACATGCTCCCTGAGTGGGACACCAGCATCCATCAAAGCTAGGCTGCCTGAAAATTTCAAGGACATGCAAGTCAGCAAAATGATATGCAGACTAAACTTATGACAAAGAAGTCACCAAGCACTCATGAAGAAATGATTGCTGAATCAGATAAAGCATATCAATGTCTGCTAATGATAATTGATGTTTTCGGAAACACTGAACAGATTGGTCAAGAATTCAATTCATAGAACTGGGTAAACCAGACTAAATAGAGTAGCTCCTTTTGTCCTAAAAAGTTACTAAACAATTACTTAAGCACAGTAGTCAATTGCTCATCATTTTCAAGTAAGATGTAATCAAGTCAGCAAAATGATATGCATGCCAATCTTATGACAACGAAGTCACCAAGCAATCATGACGAAATGATTGCTGAATCAGATAAAGCAAATCAATGTCTACTAATGATCATTGATGTTTTCGGAAACACTAAACAGATTGGTCCAGAATTCAAATCATAGACCCGGGTAAACCAGACTAAATAGAGTAGCTCCATTTATCCTAGAAAGTTACCAAACGATGATTTAACCACGGTAGTCAATTCCTCATCATTTTCAAGTAAGTGTAATCAAATAAGATGGAATAAAATACACAATGTAAAACTAGAGCTAAAACATTTTGAATGAGGGCACAAGTGCAAGTTATTTCTTTTCCCGATAAGTAACAATTGCAGTGTTGTGAAACTAAATAATGTACTAGAGCGAAACAGATTAATACAGTAATGGAGATGGAGAGCTCGAAGGTTACAAGGGTCTCAAATTTTCCATTTTTTTCTTTTTTTTTGTTTCTTATTGTTTATTTATTCAATACATGGCATACTGGTAGGCCAAAGCAGGAGGTCTACAAGGCACAAGCATTCATCCACACAGCCAATATTACCCTTAAATGAAACCTATAGTAGTCAATTTCTGTGATAGTAAGTTTGTAGCAAGGGCCGCAGCCAGGAACCAAGAACTATATATTTCTGCCGAGAAATCACAATGCACTCAAACAGAAAACCTAATCTACACAAATGTAACAAGAATCAAATCTTCCATATCATTCCAAAATTCTAATATAATAATAAATTATTATCATCATCCGAGCGTCATCCCAACTATTTGAGGTCTGCTACATAAATCATATTTCATCATTCTGCTCTATCCAGGGTCATAACGCCAGTCAAACCATAAATCCCTAGATCTCTTCTCACTTTGGGCCTTCCCGCTGCCCTTTCAAAGCTTTCCTCTTAGAACCAAATCATCCCTCCAAACCGGTGTTGCTCTAGGCCAACACAGTGCATGGCCAAACCATCTAAGTCTACTTTCTCTCATCTTATCGCCTATTAGAGCTACCCCTATGTTCCCTCGGATGTATTCATTCAGACTACCATCCTTTCTTGTAATGCACTCCATCTCAACATCCTCATCTCAGTTACACTCATTCTATGGATATCTTATTTTTAGATCGCCAAACATTTTGTCTTATAAAGCATAGTTGGTCTTACAACCATCTTATAGAACTTCCCCTTCAATTTCATAGAATCTCCCAAAATTCTAATATAACAATCATTGAAGGCAAATCTTGGACTTTAATTTCAATTTCAGAAATTAACTTGAGCATGTAGAAACCATTACAAACAATACATTGTAATGTATATTTCTTTTTGTTGAGAAAGTTAACTTTGTATAACTATGAAGGGATAGATTACAGAGATAAGATGATCCGAGAGCACCCTCATGGTGTGTCTCTCGGTAAAAAATGCGTCAACCAGCCATGTACAAAAAATGGCGCCCGATTACAAAGATTTACAAGAAGTTCTCAAAAAATAAACCAAGGCTGATAGATTTGCCCGAATACAAAAAAGTCTATGTTGTGTGCCTGTGGTCCAGAAAAAAAAAAGAGTAGGACCGGGCATGTTCTTCTACTTGGATTCTAGCTCCGTCTTTCGCGATGAGATCTGCGAGCTTGTTGGATGTCCTCCAGATATGCTTTCAAGAGATGTCCATATCCCTGCAAATGTAAGCAATTTCATCAAAAATTGTGGCTAGGTACCATGGTGGTGGTGTCGTCCCAATTGCCCAAGAGAGAATATTTTGTGAGTCTCCTTCCACTAACAGGTGTGGACCCCAGGAACGGTTGAAGCCTTTCGGACCTAGTAGTAAGGCCATGGCTTTTGCGTAATGAGAATCATTATGGCCAAGATGCTCAGAGTAGGTAAAGAGGATTTGCGATGGTGGTCTCTAAAGACGCCCCAAGCTCCTGCCAGGCCAAGGTTCCCAAGGGAACAACCATCAAAATTGAGCTTGATGGTCCTTCTGGTGGTGGCAGCCACTTGTTAGGGTTTTTAGCCTTCGCGGTTGATGGTGGATGATGCTTTTCCATTGGCTGAGGAAGAAGTTCCCTGATATGCCCAAGAACACTTTGTGGTTTAAGGCCCAGAAGGTTGCCAAAGAAGTAGCCTTGTGGAAGAGTGCTGATATGTGGAGTTTGTGACCTTGAAAAATTCTGGTATTTCTTTCTACCCAGATTACCCATATGGACGCGGCTATGGTAGCCTTCCATAGGGTTCTTCCAGCCGTCGGCCAATGTGACGCAAGATCGTATGAAATCAGGGCCTTGACCGTTGGGGACATGGCCCATTCGATACCAAAGAGTTGCAACACTTGGCTCCAAAGTTCGTGAGTGAAATTGCAGAGAATAAAAAGGTGGGGATTGGATTCCTCCTCACATTGGCACAGGGCACATCTATTGGGGATTAAGATCCCTCCCTTTTGGAGTTGGTCCACTGTGAGTGCCCTTTGAGAACAAGCAATCCAATTGAAAGCGGCGATGGTGGACCAGACTTTCGACAGTACAAAGGTGGGATTTAGGGGAAAGGTAGGGGGTTGGGTAAGGCTCTTATAAAAGAAGGCTACCGTGAAGAAACCTGAAGGGGCTGAAGTCCAAACCATGGCATCTCTCCCATGTGTCGAAATGAAGATCAAGTGTAAGACTGTTGAGCGACTGGAAGTGGTTGGTTTCCTCTTAGGATAGGTCTCTTCTGAATGACGTGTTCCATACTCTTCGGCCTCCGAACAATACCATTTCCTCAACAATGGTAGAATCTTTGTTTGAGGTGAGTGTGTAGAGGGCTGGAAAGACTTCACAAGGTGGGGTGTGTCCCAACCATAGATCTGACCAGAAGCGCACTCTAGTACCTTCTCTTGGATGAAATCTGATGTACCTTTTGAATTGTGAGAGGAAGGAGGCAAAAGATTTCCATGCTCCTGAGGCTCTATGAAGCTGTCTCCTTTCTGGCACCCAGGCTCCTTCCGGGATCCTATATTTTCTACGTAAGACCTGAACCCAAAGAGAGTCTGGCTGAGTGGTTAGACACCACCACCATTTCCCTAGGAGTGACAAATTGTGTTTTCTAAGGACCCGAATCCCTAGTCCTCCTTGGTGTTTGGGTAGGCAAATCTTATCCCACGATACTAGGTGAAATTTGATCTTTTCTACCAGCCCTGACCAGAGGAAGTTTCTTATGAGCTGATCCAAGCGATTGGCCACCAAAGATGGCATGTGGAATAGGGACATGAGATAAACCGGAGAATTTGCCAGGGTGGCTTTGATTAGGGTGGCTCTACCTGCCAAAGAGAGGTATCTACCTTTCCAACCTGCTAAACGCTTATCAACCCTGTCCATTACATGAGACCATTGTCTCTTTTTTGGCTTCCCCAATCTCAGTGGAAGACCTAGGTAGGTTGTGGGGAGATCCTCCAGTTTGCACTCCCAATTAAGAATGATCGCTCTTATTTCTGCATTCATTTGAGCAACTCCCAAAATTTTAGATTTTCCATGTTAACTTTGAACCCTGTCGCTACTTGGAATCATTTAAGAAAAAGCTTGAGGGTGTCAACTTCTCTAGGAGAGGTATCAAGGAACACCATGGTGTCATCTGCATATTGCAGGTGAGACACTGTTGGGCCATGGGGCTGCTCTTGAAGTCGGAGAGGATGCCTACCTGGTAAAGGCAGGAAATCGAACAGCTGAAGACTTCCGTTGTGATAGCGAACAAAAAGGGGGAGAGAGGGTCCCCTTGGGGAAGTCCCCTCGAGGAAGGAAAAAAGTCTTTTGGGGTTCCGTTGATGAGGATTGAGAAGTGAGGATGAGAGTAGCAACCTTTCATCCACTTCCTCCAACGGTTCAAGAAGCCCATTCTTTCCATTGACTCCTCCAGAATCGACTAGTCAATGTGATCGTATGCTTTCTCCCAGTCAATTTTGAAGATTAGACCTGGTTTCTTATATAAGTGCCTCGAGTGGATGCACTCGGGAGCCACTAAGGCCCCATCTAGAATCTGCCTATCTTTGATGAAGGCAATCTGAGATGATGAGATGATTAAAGGGAGGACTTGTTGTAGCCTTGAGGCCAGGACTTTGGCGAAAATTTTGTAAGAAGAGTTAAGTAGGATGAGCGGGCAGAAATCCTTGATTTCCTCTTCCCCTTCGACTTTGGGGACAAGGGCTATGTAGGTGGCATTGATGGCTTTATGAAGAGTTCCCCGGTGGAAGAATTCCTCAAAAACCTAGTGAAATCAAGACGGAAAGTATCCCAGAATACTTTAAAGGGTGCTATCGGAATCCATCTGGTCTGGGGGCTTTATCTTTGGCTAGGGCATCGATAGCGTGTATAATTTCTACTTCAGTGAAAGGTTGCTCTAGCCAAACAGCCCGGTCTTCTGGGAGGGTTAAGAAATCAAGGGTCATCATTCTTGGTCTTGGGCCAGAAGGAGCTGCATAGAGAGTCTGAAAGGACTCTAGGATTGCCAGCTCGATGTCTTCTGGTTGAACCAGGTAGCGACGGTTAGATTTGATCATCGAGATAGTATTGTCTCGTCTACTACAATTAGCTATCCGATGGAAGAAGGTTGTATTAAGGTCACCTGCTTTCGACCAATTTACTCTTGATCTCTAGAACCAGTAAAGTTCTTCTTTTTTGAGGGTTGAGAGGTATTCCAATTTAGTTTTGGTTCTAAGATCCAGCTCTGTGGCATTTCAAAGATCTGGATTCCTCGAGATGGTCAAGGTCTTTGATGGTTTTCAAAAGGGAAGATTTGATTTGAGTGTAGTTGCCGGGGACGAAGCTACTCCAGGTTTTGAGGGAGGTTTTGAGGAGATGGATTTTGGTCTGGAGTCTATAGCTTTCTCTACTCGTGACCTAAGAGGTGAAGGAGTTCCACAGGGTAAAGAGGACTCCTCTTGAAGCCAAGCTAATTCAAATCTGAAGGGTTTAGGGACTCTCCTTACTGCGAGGGTATCTAGAAGGATGGGGCAGTGGTCAGAGGTGGGTTTGGGTAAAGCCAAAGCATGAGATCTCGAAAAGTGTTCCTCCCAAAACAAGGATAGGAGGAATCTATCTAATTTAGAGAGGGAAGGTTTGGGAGCATGGTTGGACCACGTGTAACGACTGCCTTGAAGTGGGATGTCTAGGAGTTCATTTCGACTAATAAAGTCAGAGAAGTCCCTCATGTCCTGAGAGATTGTGGTCGAGGAGTTCCTCTCATGGGACCATCTGGTGACGTTAAAATCTCCTCTCATGCACCAAATTGGGTGGGGCAGGGATGCTACATGGTCCAATTCTGACCAAAGCCTGTGTCAGAGAGAGGCTGAATTGGGGCTGTAGATGGCCGTCAATTTCTAAGGGAAGCCGTCTGATGTACTTGAAAGGAGTATAGTGACGGAAAACTCTTATATATGGAAGGACTTAAGGGTGTGATCTGAAGGATGCCCCCTGATGCCCCATTCGCCGGCAGAGAGACCCACTAGAAGGGTGTTCTGCCCCACACCTGGCGTATGAGCTGGAAAGTGGGCTCTGGTTGTTTAGTTTCTATGAGAGCAAGAATCGCAAGGTGTTTTGAGGTAAAATCCTTGACAGCATCGCTTTTGGACGACTGTCCAGAACCTCTTACATTCCACGTAAGAATCTTCATAAGTAGAGGAGGAGGCCAATCTAGAAGACCTCCTCGGACGAGCGGTGGAAGAAGAGGGCGGGAGGCGGCTTGCAGACTGTCCCTCTTAGGAATTGGAGGAGAACAAGTTTAGTAGTTCTCTGTCCTTTGAATCACACCTTCAGTCGACTCTAGCGTCTGCGAGTAGAAACATGTGAGCCGGTCCTTCGGGGCCATCATGTCAAAACCCCATAATCCTATACATTTCTTTCATTTTGTCCTCCTCCCTGTTTATCCCATCCTCGTTGATCTCATCGATGTTGTCAAGGGCCGAAGAGGGAGAGATGGGTTCTCTTGGTGACTCGATCGACGCTACTTCAGGGTCAGCTAAAAGCGAGGTTGGGTTGATGGGGTAGAGATCTAAGGGCAGAGTAGGGAGAGGCTCTAGGAAGGCCGGGGCAGGCAGGGGGAGAAATGCAAAGCTAGGAGTAACCAAAGAGGAGGTGGAGGGGGAAGGGAGCGGTGCAATAGGAGGCAGTTCTGAGGGCGTAGGAGGGCAAGAGGTGAGCAGCCCCTGGGTCTGAATCGAAGGAGAAGAGGGCGGGGCGTAGGGGGGAGAGAAGAGGGGAGGAGGGTAGGGGAGGAGGGGTAGCTAGGGGAGGGGGTTCCATAAGAGAAAGAGGGGAGGAAGGTGAGAAAATGGTGGGCCTGGACAGAGGTAAAAAGGGGGTAATTCAACAGAGAGTGGGAAGGCAAGGCAAAATGCAGGGTGCAAACCCTACAGATATGGACCAAGTGGGGAGTATAAGAGAGGTGAGGGGCTAGCAAGGAGGAGATTAAAGCTAGGTCTGGGGGAGAGTGGTCCATGGAGTGAGTTGCTACAATGCCATAGGGGAGCAAGTGCCTGCCCATTTTTCCGTTTTGAGTTGGGCCATCCGACTGCTTGTGCGTCAGAGCTGGTTCCAAGAGTTCTTCTAAGTTGAGGGGGAGGAAAGTCAAGGAGAAAGGGGGGGGAGGGGAGCTAGTAAAGGACAAGGGTAGCAAGGCCAATAGAGAAAGGTTTAAAGAGGTGGAAAAGGAAGAGGGAAATGGGGCCAGAGGAAACGGTTCCAGGTTAGGGTTCGCCGAGGGTGGGGAGGTAGCAGAGAGGGCTTCGAGGTTTCTAGGGGTAAGGGAGAGAGTCTGAAGAATGGTAGCCTGGGGGTGACAGGGGGGAACGAAGGTGGAGAGCCGGGCAAGGTCAACAAAGGCTGAGGGTGAGGGTGAGGGAGAGGGAGGCATGGCCAGGTAACACCATCATGGGGAGAGAGACATGGGGGTGACTCTTCGAGAGGCGACACGTGGGAAGGCGTAGGTAGAGGGGGCGATTGATTCTAGAGGAAATGCAGCAAGGAGACGAAGGGGTTGGGCGGGAAAGGGTTTGAAGAAAAGGACGGAATGGGCGATGGGGACAGGTGTGCCAGAATGGGCGGCTGGGGCGACAGGTGGTCTAGGAGGGGCGGCGAAGGCGATTAGGTGTGTCAGGAGGGTCGGCTGAGGAAGACACGTGGCGGGCTAAACTGAAAGGGGGTATGGAGAGATTAAAGTGAAGGGCTCGGATGTCGAGGATGTGAGCGGGAAAGTGGGAAGGTTCGAGAAAGACGGGTCGGGTCACTCATGTTCATCTAGCGATAAAGATGAGGGAGAAGAGTCCGCCATAACTTCCTTCCCGAGTCGGCGAGGGTGGGAAGGGGAAACGGCAAGGGATGGCAGCGATGGGCCGGTGTGATCGCCACCTTCGGGGTTCGAGCCAATCAAGAGCAACAGGGTCGTAGGCTGCTTTGCCAGCACGGTGGCCCACCCCCTTTACTCGGACTGATTGAGGGAGTTGACACATGGGCACCAACTGGCAGCCCGTTGTGGGAGGGGGTTGGTGTCCCTGGTGGGGGCGGGGGGTCGCCGGCGGCGCCTATTGCAGTTGCACCCTTTCTTCGACACTGTGATCGAAGGTTGAGGGGCAATTTCCGATGAAGTATATTGATACATGCCAAATCAAATATACATTTAAATATCTATGCATTAATGTATCATATTATTATGATTGTGCAGTGGCTAAATTAGATGAAATGTGACCTATCAAAGAAAGGATGAGAAGTGGATCGGATCTGCAATGAAATTAAAAACAAATATCGATTACAACTTATCTTATTTTTTGTTTGTTGTTAATTATGTTATTGAAAATAAAAGAATCGCCAAGTCGACTCTCCCCGGTCGTCAATTGATTTTGTATCAATGTTACATCTTGAACTAGATTCTTTGCCCAATGATATAGAGAAAATGTTGATTGGAAAATCAACTAATAGAAAAATGATAGAATACAAGCAGTACAAATCAATAGGTGTCAACAACATCATAGCCAATGGAACCGGTAATCATAAGTAAACCAGTAATCATAAGTAGTTGGCTTAAGCCTACCTCCACAAACTGTGGCCATCGACGTTGATCCATCAGAAGCCATGACTTCAGAATTGATGCGTACACTGTATGGGAAATTATCCTCAGGAGGTAATAATGCAAGCAAAGCTTTCTCTGCTAGCGTGCCTTAAAAAAACGAAAGAACGTCATAAATATGGCAAGGGTATCATGCAGAAAATACAAAGACAGTGATTTCTAACATGTCCAATTGCATATTAAACAGCCTGGCTTGAATAATATGCTGAAAGCATGAACCCAAAGTGAAATGAGTAGTAGGTAAAAACTACAAGAACTACTGCTCAAAAAGTAAAAAACGTACGTAAAAACTACAAGAACTATTGCTCAGAAAGTCAAAAAAACTAACTTCCCATTTAAACAAAACAAATTATATCGGCTACCATAACCAACCAATGAATGTACCATAAGAAACTGACAAGTGAACTAGATCTCACAGCCAAACTCACCGTGGAAGAAGTAGTTCAAGCAAATTTATGAAAAGGAATCATATACATTATAATTAGAAGGGCCGAGATAGAAGCAGAATATGATTTAAAAGGAAATAACATGTTAAATCACATCAGATCAAACAATTTGGCAATAATGAGCAATTCAAATCAAATCGGATATAAATTGGCTTAATATTCTAATGATTTTTCCAACTCAGCTTATTTTTAGAGATCACTGCCAAGACCTGGCTGTATACATGTCTGTCCACGCTTTTTTTCCCTTATTTATTTTTGAGAGGATGTTCATTTTGGAGAAACCCAGAGATTTTTATATTAATTGGAATCAGAAGCCAATTTCACCCATATCTCTCATGGTTGAGCATTAATATACGAAATGGCCCCAGCACTTCACTTTTTTCGTTAATAAATTTTGTACTTTTGTTTTATTGTAAGTTTTGGAAAAGTTTTACGTTGACTACCTAACTAACACAACCAAACTCCTTTACCAGGGTAAATAACTAAGGCTATTTATGACATGAAATGGGTGCATCAAAAAGCCAATTCGATTTTATGCCGGGGAGGTCAATAACCGAGAGTAGTTTCCTACTTAGGCAACTGATTGAGAAGTTTAGGACGAAGGGAAAAGACCTCCACATGGTCTTTATTGATCTAGAGAAAGCTTATTACAGAGTACCTCGAGATTTGATTTGGTGGGTGTTTAAAACAAAAGGAGTCTCCTGACACTACATCGACTTAGTGAGAGATATGTACAATGGAGCGTTGTGTAGTGTACGAACAACTAGCGAAGAAATGAGTGAGTTTTCAATGACAATAGATCAACAATAGGGGTCAGCATTGAGCCCGTCCCTTTCTCTTAGTCACGGATAACTTAACTAGGCATCTACAAGATGAGGTACTATGGTGTATCTTATTCACATATGACATAGTTTTGATCGATGAGACCCGAAATGGCGTCAGCACAAAGTTAGAACTTGGGAGGGATGCAAGATTTTAAAATTAGCCGAACTAAGACAGAGTATATGGAAAGCAAATTTAATAATAGGAGTAGAGATGGGGAAGTAGTGAAAATTGATGGCCAGGAAATATCAAAAAACGCACACTTTCGATATCGTGGGTCGATAATTCAGGAAAATTGAGAGATTGAGAAAAATGTTGCACACAAAATTAAAGATGAGTGGGTGAAGTGGAGATGTACAACTGGAATTTTATGTGATGGTCGTATATCAATGAAGCTAAAGGGCAAGTTTTATAAGACAACGGTGAGGCCAGTTTTGCTCTATGGGATAGAATGTAAAAACAATATACCCATAGAATGAGTGCAGCGAAGATGAGGATGTTGAGATGGATGAGTGGAAAGACAAGAAGGGATAGAATTCGAAATGAATACGTTAAGTAAAATTTAGGTGTGGTACCAATAGGTGATAAGATGAGAGAGTAGAGTTAGGTGGGCTGGCCATATGTGGCACAAATCCAGTAAAACACCTGTAAAGAGGTGCAAGTTAGTTCAAGTAGAAGGCTTAAAAATGGCAAGGGGTAGGCCCAAAAGTACATAGTTGGAAGTAGTGAAAAAATATATGGGGACTTATGGCCTCAATGAGAGTATTGCCCTTCATAGAGCAGAATGACATACTAGGATTTGTGTAGGCGACCCCAATTACTTGGGAAAAGGCTTTAACGACAACGACTTACTATTTTATCTATTTTCTCTTTAAAAGTTTCCCATTTCCTCTTTTCTAACTTTTATATCACCATAACAGAGAAATTTGTTCACATCGACCATTTATTGAGCTCCATAAATCAATCCGCTGATTTAACAAAGCTTCAAGTATCCAAGTAGGGCACCAATGAGATAGAACAAAATGCATTATGAAATCAAACTGGATCGTCAAGCATGAAGCAATCAAGAAAAATAAAGCAAAATCAATTCAATAGTCACACAATTTGTGTGAATAAGTGTCCAACTAATGCAGTAATGAAAATAGAAAGTATTAAAAATCCATTTTATTATTTTTATTTCTCTTATATTTAAGTTAATACGACCTATATGTCCTATTTCCAATTCATATAGGCAGTTTTGGCTTTCTCTAATTTTACTAATATAAAAGATATTTGAGAGGTGCGTGAAATTTATCGGAGAATCACATAACTCTCACTTCCTCTCCCTCTTTTCTTTTCATCTCTCCTGCGCCCCCCCACCACCTTCTTTCTTTAACATGATATCAGAATCATTTTCTTCCCTCTTGCTTTTGTTCTCTACCCTAAATATTTCCTCCATCGGGATTTTCTTGTCTATCTTATAAAAGGGTTACTTCCTACGCTGTTTGATCCAAACCATGGGGTTTTCTCCTTTTATTTATTTTTTCTTTTCTTTTCATTTTTGTGTGTGCAAAAACTCATGGGGTTGTGCGTTTAGTGTGGTGATGTTGTTGTTCATGTGATGATCGAGATAAAAGTTTGTAAGCAACCGTGAATGATTCGCCAAAGCTTCTCTCAAAAACCTGTTAAGGTGTTGCTCTAGTCTACTCAGAGAGTGGCAACATGTTGATGCTCAGATTTGGATGATGGGTTATTGCCTTAGTTTGGTCAAGTGTGAGAAAGTGACTATGCTCTGAGTAATAAGTCTCTCTCTCTCTCTCTCTCTCTCTCTCTCTCTCTCTCTCTCTCTCCCTTGAAAATTGTTAACTCAATATTAAGTGTAAAGGATTTACAGGTCACAAAAAATTGGTTACCCATAAAGAGAGCACTATAAGAATACCACCCCCCCAGTGGTAGTATCAAAAAATGCTAGACAAGCAAGTGATTATAAAAAAACAAGTCCCCAAGATGACAAAGACATGTGCGCTAAAGAGTCGCCTAAAGAGCCCCTTCTATGGTGGCGTCCACTCAACCAATAGGAGAGCGAACGAGAAGACGAAGGTGCCTTCATGGTTTCTGAAGATGGCCCCGATACACGCTGGGCCCGGGTTGCGAAGGGAGCAACCATCGAAGTTGCGCTTGACGTGGTCTGGGTCCGACAATCTCCAAAGGGAAGTGCAGGGTGGAGAATAGCTACCTAATTAAGATGGAAGTCAGAAGTGGAAAGGAGCTTGAAGCGGTTGTGGTTGATGGCCCAAAAGATGACCAAGGACCTGATACTATTAGTCGATGCCCTTGAGTTGGTGATCTGACCGCGAAAACTACGATGGTTGCGCTCTATCTAGATATTCCAAAGGGTGGCAGCAACCGAAGCTCTCTAAAGCATAGTGACTAATATGGGCCACGGGAGGAAGCGCATTTGGTGGAAGAGCTGGGGCAGACTTGGGTGTCACTTAGGTCTAATTGAACAACTTAAGAAGGTCAACGCACAGAAAAGTAGCAGATTTGTAGTGTAGGAAGAGGTACAAGTTGGTTTCCTCGTCTTCCAGACACATGCAACAGTGATTAGGGATCATCATGCCTCTCCTTTGGAGCTGATCGACTGCCAAGGCTCTCTCCGACAAGGTGATCCAATAGAAGACTTGAATCTTGGGGGGATGAAAGGGATCCAAGCTTTGGCAACAATAGAGTGTAGGTGTGAGGGGTCCCGCGAAAAGGCAATAAGTTTATAATAAAAGGAGGAAACAGAGAAAACTCTGGAAGGGGTAGGAGACGAGATGATTTTATCCTCGCCATGAGGGGGGAGATAGAAGGAACGAAGAAGAGCGGAGAGTTCCAGAAAGGCCAAGATTTTGTTGTCACGGAGATTTCTATGGAAGTTCGGATTCTAGGCTGTGGAGTTCCCTTCGATAGAAAGGAGTTTAGCAATTGAAGAATCTAGGGGTTTCTAACAAGGCGAAAAGGGTCATGAAAGCGAACCATGAGGGCATTATGGCCAATCCAAAGGTCTGACCAAAACCATATTCGATTGTCAATTCTGGAGTTGGAAACAAATGTGAGACTTAAAATGGGTAGAGGCTGCAAAGCAATGATCTCCAAGCACCAGAGGAGTTAAGAGGCCCCACTTGGGAGCAACCATGGAGAAGCGTAAGATGATATTTGTTGCAAAGGGCATGCTGGCACAGTTGACCATCTTGTATAGCTAGCTACCAGCACCATTTGCCAAGCAGCACCATTTGCCATGCTGGATGCGTATACTGAGACAACCGAGGGCATTAGGTTTGCAAATTTTGCTCAAAGAGATGAGATGATATTTCCTTGACTCCATGTTGCCAGACCAAAGGAAATTGCGATCAGATGTTCGAGATGTTGCGCCACTGAGACTAGCATGTGGAAAAGCAACATTTGAAAATTTGGGACATTAGATAGGGATCTCTATCTTCTTTTTTTTAAGAAAGAAAAATAGTTCCTGTCATTCCACTAGACTTGGTATAAGTGGTTGTCTTCAGATGACCCTAGTTGGTTCCTTTATCTTTTATTTCATACCAAATGACTAATGAAACTAAACTTGGAACCTTCCGTCTTTCCTGAATACGTGGGGATACAAATTACTTCAACAAAATTAAATAAGTCCAATTATACCGTATGAGCTCAATCTATTAAGGTATTCCATGGTGCTAGGGGGGAATTGAAGTACTTGACTGAAAACAATCCTAGTGAGTCCGATAGTAGATATGAAGAGTAGATGATAGAGAATTGCATAATCATGACTTGTTTGTGGAGTAGTATGGAGCTCAAATAAGT